GATGTCTCTTATTAATTAATTTGAGTTATTCTATCATGATTCCTAATAATTTAATATTAAGATTTTGCATGTATTTCAATTATATTTTCTGCTGATGAAGGATGTATTATCAGAAACGTTCGGAATTATTTATTTTCTTAAGTTTTTTTAAGATTTTATTAAATTATATCAAATAAATATAAAATGAATTAAAACAATAAGATCTGATTTTTGCTCATTATATCTAGCCTTTGCTTATTTTATTGTATTGTCACTAATATAAGCTCATCATCATTACTATTCTTTTCTTTTCGTTACAACCATGCAAATAATTTCTGGAAATTAGAACTTTGACAGTGTTCAATACATAAGAAAAATTTTCACAAGGTTTTTGAATAAAAAAAAACAGAATATGTGCTGAGATATTAATAAATACTTCCTTTACAGCTAGACATTTTGATTTTAAAAACTATATTTGGCCTATACATTTTTCAGGAAAAAAATAAAAGTTATAATTTACAAAAATGTTCTTTTCCATTAAAAATCAAGAATGAAAAGGAGATATGTGCTAAGCTCCAAAATATCCACAAAAGCAATTTCTTAATGCAAAAAGATACAGTTTATGTGATAACAAAATTGATTAAAATTCACACTGAAAAAAATCTTGGATATGTCCATGCAAATGTTATATGTATGTCACATACCTAGGGGCAACAGCTCGTGCCTTTTTGATACGTTTTTGCTTACGACGGATCTTCCTCGCTGGTTGATTAAACCAGGTCTTCACGTATCGTTGCCAATCCTTATGAAAATGGCCATTTGGGATCATATTATTCCCCTTACCCATGGTTGACGCCTAATATCTAAAACAGAATCAAAATTAAACATTTGCGTTTACATCACGTTGAAAATTGAGATATTTAAATTAGATATTTTTGTAATCAAGATACGATGTTTGGTAACTAATTTGTGTACGAAAAGAAAGGTTAGGCTCTCTGATGAGCACAACAGCAGTTTAATTACACACATAAATAACCCATATTTTACACAAAATTGTAGCTAATGTTAGATACATTAAATTGATGAGAAAGAACTGCAACAGAGAAAAAATCGAAGAAAACAAAAGTTCACTAGCAGCAATTTAGCCCTGGATTCTAACCTCTCCTTCGCGGAGTAAACAGAATTCAAATCGAAAACAATTATTTCAATACAAGGATTACACATATGAGGCAAAAGCAGTTAGAAATATAAAAAGATGCACATTCCCATCGTTACATATTACGCAGCATAAACGATGGTAATACCTCGTACAGATTTAATTCCTATGACATTCACTCACCAACTCACGCACACGAGACAAATCGGAAAAGGAACGTGAGACCGGCGGAAGTGGCACTTTTGCGAGTAGAAATCTCTCTGTCGCGCAGGAACGGAATCTTTTTACGCGTTTTTCGAAGTTGATAACAATGTCAATAATAATATTAATAATATTCAAGGATAATTAATATTCCAGTTAATGAAGTAAATGATATTCTCAATCCATAAATAGTAATTTATCTACAGTTGTATAGAAAAATGGCAGCGCACGTAGCGTGAGTATGTGTGTTGATACTGCTGATGTGTTCACTGTCGTTCAGCCTCACTTTGTTTATACCGAAGAAGTCTGACTTTTAATGATGCAAAGATTACCTTATTCTTTCAAAATATCACGATGCAAGATACGAAAGTGTTTAAATAATTTTTTTCACCTATCGTTGCAACTGTCTGCTGTCGATACGCCATTGGTACCTTTGTTTAAATGTTTATCTCGTTGATTTTATGTAGAACGTTTAAACGTAAGACATAAAATTTGTTTAATTATTCTAGCCTGATTTTATTTTACTCGTACATGCAATAATGATAAAAAATTTTCAATATTTGGTAGCCTTATGGAAGTAGATTTTATTAATAAAATAGGATTGAAGTTCGAAAATTGTATCTCGCTTGGAATGTTATGTATTGATGAAACATTGCTTTTCAGCATTCAATATATTCGATAAACATGAAGAAGGCGACAGAGAAATATTGGGGTGATAAAGTTAATCCTTGTAAATCCAGTGTTAACAAAGATGCCAAAGATAAATTTTACATTCTTTCTATGTTTCCGTATCCGTCTGGTGCCTTGCACATGGGTCATGTTCGAGTTTATACAATAAGTGATACTGTAGCTCGATTTTATAGATTAAAAGGCAAGTCTCACAAAAACTTATAATATTGATTTATACAAGATTTAAAGAATAAGTCTTTATAATGATATATTTAAAAAATCATTTTTAATAATATAAAATAAATTTAGGCAAAAATGTAATTCATCCAATGGGTTGGGATGCTTTTGGATTACCAGCAGAAAATGCGGCTATTGAAAGACAAATCAATCCTGCTATATGGACAACTGAAAATATAGAAACAATGCGTAACCAATTAAAAATGTTAAATTATTCTTTTGATTGGGATAGAGAATTTGCAACCTGTGATCCAGATTATTATAAATGGACTCAAGAACTCTTTCTAAAGTTGTTCGATAAAGGTTTGGCCTATCAAAAGGAAGCTTACGTTAATTGGGATCCTGTCGATCAGACTGTATTAGCCGAGGAACAAATAGATGTAAATCAACGATCTTGGAGATCTGGTGCACTTGTTGAAAAAAAATTGTTAAAGCAGTGGTTTATTAGAACAACAGCTTTTGCAAAGTAAGTTTGAAAGTAATATGTATATATATATATATATATTTATATATTTTGTTCTGAAAAATTAATATTTTTAATAAATAAATAATGTCATATATAGATCATTATTGGAGGGTTTAAATGATCCAACTTTGAAGGAATGGAAAGATATTCTAAAGTTGCAAAAACACTGGATAGGTGATTGCAATGGCATTAATATTGATTTTAAATTAGTATCTGAAATTCCAGAGTTTCCAAGAACATTAAATATATGGATTGACACACCAGAATTTGTAGAGTATGCAAAGTTTGTTGCTATATCCTTTCAAAGTATATTAAATCGTAAAGAGCATACGTATGAAATAGATGTTGGAATAAAAGGTTTAAATGCAAAAATAATAAATCCATTTTCCGGTGAAGAGTTGCCGGTTTTTATCACTGACAAAGTTGTTTACCCACCGTGGAGAGATGTTCGCTTGGGTATACCTTCGGCATCGATGGATGATTTCAAATTTTCGGAGTTAGTTGGAATATCATTTACTCGGCATTCAATACGTAGTTACGAACAGCAACAGCAGAAGCTATCCGAAGTATTCCAAAAAGCTAGAGAATGGGGTATAGGCGGATATCCAGTAAGCTCGAAATTGCAGGATTGGTTAATTTCTAGACAGAGGTATTGGGGTACACCTATACCTATTATTCATTGTACAAATTGTGGCACACAACCTGTACCTCGTAATCAACTTCCTGTAATATTGCCAAAGATGACGAACTCAAGCTCGAATAAAAGGTTCTCGATTCAAGATATGAAAGATTGGTTGCAGACGAAATGTCCCAAGTGTGAAGGAAATGCTACTAGGGAAGCCGATACAATGGACACGTTTGTAGATAGCAGCTGGTATTTTCTAAGATTTATAGATCCCAAAAATACAAAAGAGATGTTTTCGGTAGAAAAAGTTAAGGAAATGTTTCCTGTAGATCTCTATATAGGTGGAAAAGAACACGGTATAATAGTAACATTTTCTTAATTACTGTACTTTGGAATTTTTATCAAATTAAAGTATTTTTTATAAATTTTACACCTTTTAGCTGTGCTGCATTTATACTTTGCCCGGTTTATGAGTCACTTTCTGCACTCGGAAGGTCTTTTACCATGCCGAGAACCATTTAAACAGCTCCTCGTGCAAGGAGTAGTAATGGGTAAAACATATCAAGTTATAAGTACTGGCAAATATATACTAGAAGATGAAGCGTTGAAAGAAGGGGATCAGTATAAGACGAAATCTGGAGAACTTGTCTCCATGCGCTGGGAAAAAATGTCAAAATCAAAGCTCAATGGAGTTGATCCTCTCAATCTGTTGAATAAATATGGAATAGATACGACAAGATTATTAATACTGGCCGATGTTGCGCCAACATCCACTAGAAATTGGTCAGAAAATAGTAAGTTTCTTAAATTACAGTCACTTGTTTAAATGCTTTTATTAGAACATAATATACTTATTCATAATTGCAGCTGTTACAGGTATAAACAACTGGCAAAACCGTCTTTGGACTGTTGTTAAACGATTTAAAACTGAACGCGACAAAATATCTCTGGAGGAACTCGAAAGCAAACCTACTAATCCTAAATACGCTGAACAGGATGCATACATGTTTGATAGCCGGAATTATTTTCTCAAAAACGTGACATTTAACATAGTAGAATCGCAGCAACTTAGTGTAGCAATATCTCGACTGCAAGGCCTTACAAATAGGTAAATAATTATATTTATACTTTAGTAACTCCGTTGCACAGTGTAATTTTAATTTTTAATATTTGAATATATACACATTGAATAAATCTGAATCTGTAATTATAGCTTACGAAAAGTTGACTTGGAGTGTCTAAGAAAAAGTCGCGAATTCGAACGAGCATTAGCTGTTCAAATTATAATGCTCGCTCCATTCGCTCCACATTTTGCCTCTGAATTATGGACTACGTTCTGTTCTGCTAAGTATCATCTTATAGATAACACTGAAGTTGACTTAAACAAAACTATATTTGAACAGAAGTGGCCAGATATTGACATGGATTATAATCTTGTAATGAATGTTTATGTAAGTATCCTGATATGTATGATTCTATTATTAAAATATAAATACATGAAAAATCAAGGTGCTTATAAAATTACATATATATTTCTATTTTTCAAATTTTAATTGATCATATTTACACCATATGTAAACATCATAGGTAAACAAAAGAGCATTTCTCAAAATGAAGATTCCTCGACGTGAATTGAACAAAATGGCAGCAGATACAGCGTTAGAATATGTGGTCCTCCATCCGTATTATCAAAAATATTCATACAATAAATATGTTGTAGATGTCAATTTTAAAGCAGAGAAAAGCTGTGATGCGTCGTTGTACATAACCATGGAAAAACAGAAAGAAGATTAGATAAAAAATAGCATTATTTTAATTTGTACACATAAGATGTTGATAGAAATTTATTATATTTATTAAAATATAACAAAAATATTTATTACGAAGAGAGACAACAAAGTTTTTTCAACTAAGATGATAGTTCAACTTGCTTACCTCATGTCATATTCTTTATATCCATTATCTGGAATGGTTTTCAAGAATTTTATATAATCAGTGGGAAGTTTGTTTTCTTTGGCTCCTTTTAATATTGTATTTCTGCACGAATCATGGAAAATTTTTAAAGAAAAATTTTAAGAGGTTAAAGATAAAAATAATTGTGTTAAAATTACTGCAGTTGCTTTTTAAATTGCATATGATGACATACAGGTATAATGGTGAAGGTCTCTTATCCATTGGAAGGTCTTCTGGCTTTATATATTCCTTTGGATTATTACATTGCTGGTACACTCGACAATTTAGAGTTCTACCACCAGGAGTTTCAACATTTACTGACATTGCATGATATATATTATCTTGAACACCTTCTTGACAGTCTAATGTAGCTAAATTGCACTTGTCTAATTCCCAGACTACACCCCACACTACTGAATGTTCTGTTTCTACAATTGTGGCAGATGTTCCATGCCATCGTTTAGAATATCTGTAAAAATCCAGCCTAAAATTCTGTAATAAAAATACATAATGTATATTATTTTATATAAATATACATACATGTAAATATACTGTATATATGTTAATAAATATATTAATATACAAACAATATAATGTATAAATGTAATAAGATTAATATTAAGATTTTCTTGTTTGCATTTGAAGAGAAATTTAATAAGTTTAATAATTTATAGTTTATATTATGCATCACTATCTTTTCATATAATTTAATATTTTTACATTTTATGAATATATATTTATAGATATCTCTAAAAAAAGATTAAACAAATATTTTTTTAAAATAGATATTTTAAAATGAGGTAGTCTGTATCGTTACTTTGCCTTTTGTAAAGTTTTACTACATGCTATATATAGTATACACATATATATATTTTTTATTTAATACATGTTAGTATTAAAATTATATGTATTGTTTAAAAATATTTCTATCTATATATACACATGTGTGTGTGTGTGTGTGTGTGCGCGCGCGCGCGCGTGCGCGTGCGTGCGTGTGTGTGTGTATACAAGATGTTTTAAAATTTACGCCCGCGAAGTACAAGACGTGATACTTTATGCTAAAACAAACAACTTTTTCCTTTAACGAAATTGCGTCCGATAAATAATTTTTGCGCTTATTTGTTGACTTCAAGCTGCTCTCCTGCAAAAACTACTTATCGGACGTAATTTTGCTAAAGAAAAAAGTTGTTTTTTGTGTTAAAACGAACAACTTTTTCCTGTAGTAAAATTACATTCGATAAATAATTTTTGCGTTTACTCGTACAACTTCAACCTGCTCTCCTGCAAAAACTACTTGAGTGTCAGCAGGGCTGGGTAATATTTCAAATAATTCCATTTTAAATATGTATTTAAAATAAAAATGGCATTTTACATTTAAAATGGAATCATGTCTATCGTTTAACCATTGGTCGTTCAGCAGAGAAAGCAGCTTTGCAACTGTTGTAAAATTCTTGAATACGATTGGTTTATACATTTAGATCCAATGAGGAACTAAGGGCAAGACCAATCATATTGAAGAATTTTACAACAGTTGCAAAGCTGCTTTCTCTACTGAACGCAGCCATTTATAAAATAGGTAAATGGGTTTCCTATATTTTCACAAATTTTCCCTAGAATCGTTGACGTATAAGAAGAATCAAGTCCTCTATGTTTTTTGGCCAAAGATTTTTATGAATATTTAAATAAACTGCAAATTAATTTCCGATAGTCCATAAATATCGAATCTTAATAAAAAAAAATTAATGTTCTAGCTTTATGTAAAATACTATATAGATTTCTAAAAATGTATATTACTCTTAACATCTAATCTTGACCGTAACCAGTGCTTCTCATATTAATTTGATTTATTCAAGTAAACGATCCCGATTCCAAATCATAATATTTTAAAAAATTTTTAATATTTTCTTTTTTCTCGTCAGAAATACTTTATTTACAATACTGTAGTCAGGGCTTCAAATTCCATTGAAAATGGATGTCAAATGTAAAATTTGAAAATAATAATTTGATTTATTCAAGTAAACGATCCCGATTCCAAATCATAATATTAAAAAATTTTAAATATTTTCTTTTTTCTCGTCAGAAATACTTTATTTACAATACTGTAGTCAGAGCTTCAAATTCCATTGAAAATGGATGTCAAATGTAGAATACTTTTAAAAAATGTATACCACCCTAACAGAAAGTTTTTACGAAAAACTATATAGATTGAAACAAGATCTTAGGAATTCTTAATTTTTCGTAGATATTTGTAGTAGAACGTAGAGTAATGTTGTTTGAAAAACCAAGAAATTCTCCGCCTTCAAACAACATTACTCTACGTTTCACTATGAATATCTATGGAAAAACTATGGATTTCTGAGGCAAACAAACCTCACTGTAAGTCCCACGAATATCTACGAAAAATTAAAGATTTTTAAGATTTTGTCTCATTTTAGATAGTTTTTTCTGTATTTTTTCGTAAAAATTTTTTTTACGCTAGGGCAGGAAAAACCATTTTGCATTCGAGAACTATTTAAAATACCTATTTGTCCATTTTACATTTAAAATAGATTCGAAAAACCCATTTTGCATTTTAAATATACTTTTTAAAAGTATTTTATAATTAGTATTTTAAATGGAATTTGAAAGACATTTTACCCAGCCCTGCTTGTCAGACACAATTTTGCAAAAGAAAAAATTGTTTCTTTTAGCGTAAAGTATGACGTCTTGTACTTCGCGGGCGCAAATTTGAAAACAATTCAAAACTGTATATATATACACACAGGGTGAATGTTAATGCATGTCTGTACCATGGGAAGTGAGTTATAAACTGCATCTGTAATCATCTTTTTTTTTAAATTCAAAGGAAGAATTTTAAAAAGTGAATTCTCTTTGAGTTTATAATGATCATCTGTGCTATTTCAGTACATATGTGCGATCTAAGCGAGTGCTTTCTAGCAAGAACAGTCACACACTGTGTAACACAGTGAATTGTTTCATCTTTGTTTAACTAAGCGAACAATAATGATTCACTGTGTTATATTGGCTGCGGTCGATTTGGACGCTTTCAGCACTTTTCAGTACTTCTTATTTTAGTCTAATAAACGATAAAGACAGAATGATGATTATAAGTGCTTAAAACGCGTGAGCGTCCAAATCGACCGCAGTCACTGTGTCTGTGTTCTTGCTGGAAAGCACCCACTGGTCATGTTCAGCAGACTCAACTGTTGTGGAGCAGATCCGTGAGCACTCGCTGCTATTAGTGTATTCTTCTAAATCATCCAATAACAGCGAGCGCTCATGGATCCGCTCCGCAACAGTTGAGCCTGCTGAACGCGACCACTGATAGCCATCTACATATGCACCGTTTAGATGATCAAACTTTATAGCTGCAGTCGGTACAGACGTATTAACATTCACCCTGTATAACAATTAATACACATATCCACATAAAGTTTGGAATAAAGGCCGCAGCACGCACTCTTCCATAACGCATGATGCATTGTGCATAAAGGAATCAACCAATAAAAATTCTTCTTTTTCATGGAATGGGAGGAAAGGAAAGATTCTGATTAGTTGATTCGCTTACGCGTTATGCAAAAGTCTGTGCTGCGGCCTTAAATCCCGCATTAAATCAACCAGTACTTTGTCAATCAACGAACTTGGAGACATGGAATAACTTAAAAGAAAAATATATATAAATCTTGATTTTCTTTTCTCAATTACCTTTATGTAACCGATGTCTTTCATTATTGCGGTCGGATTACATAAATGTATCCTCTTGGCGCATAAATTACTCCCATAAGCGAAATACAGAAACGTGTTTGTCATTTTTCAGACTGATCCAAACTGGTCTTGCAAACTTTTCACAAATAAAGGGTCTCTTTCACCAACCTCGATTAAGTTAACCAACGGTTACATGGGACTCATTTAGGCCCAGTTTCACAACTCATTATTACTCATTACTTAAAATAAGTTAAACCTCGGTTAAAAATTAACCATGAGTTATGAAACTGGGCCTAAATGAGATTGGTGAAGAGAGAGAAAGAGACCCAAAGTAATAAAATGTTTCGTTATCACACTACTCACTATTTGACGCTACTGCATTACTGTTGTCAAAATGACGACGAGGACGAGTCGACGAGCGCACATATATATAAAACACTGTGTGTACAAAATATATTGTGTGTGTATCTACGAAAGATAAGATATGTCATGATTCTTCCATCTGCATACAAATATAATATATATCTTATGTGCACAGTGACAATTAAGTTGTTGTTAGTAATAATAATCCTGAAGAAAGAGGACGCGCTCCTCGCCTCTCACGAGCGCCGTTTCGGTCTCTACGGTCACACAGTCTATTAATTAATTAACTTTTATCTGTCTAATTAATCAACCGAGTGAACCGAGTCTTCTGTCAGGATTCACAGTGTCAGTAAACCCATCGATTGATTTGAAGCGCGTTTTGTAACCTAAACCTAAACCTAAACCTGACCGATCACATCTGAAGCGTTCGGTGAGTTCGTGGTTGTGTATTGTGTTCGGTCGAACTCTAGAGCTTTTGGTAGCTCTCTCTCGTTCTGTCTCTCGACCGTTTTCTCTTTTTTCTTTCTCTATCATATTTACCATCGTGGCGACACTGG